TGAACATAATTCATGTCCAGTTGTTGGTTCATTGAATATGGACGATTAATAGAAAATTGGTGGGGGGGGGTGGATAATAATTCATGTAGTCAAAAAATCGCAAATACCTTCATGAATTTTCAAAGTATGTTGCCTTTAATAAGCTGCTTTTATTGTTTTTATAGCGTGACAGCCAGCGCATGATCAACTGTAAAGCAGGTAAGAAAAGTGGTAACCAGTGATGTACATTTATAACGCAGTTTTTAAGGTCGTAAACATTCTTCTAATGATTGCAGATTAAAAATATGTGACTAGTAGCCTAGAAGAAATATATTTAGTAAATGAACTTTTCGAGACTCACAATGTTATTTCTTTTTCATCACAAATGAGTGATTTTTAATGTATGCTGAAGAAAACACCATTGTGGATTCCAAAAACTTCAATCATTAAATATATTTTTTCCATACTTCTCACCGTGTCTTAATGTTTTATATTAATGATCTGTTCCTCTGATGACAATTTGTATTATATTAAGATGGTTTTTATGAGCTAACAGAATTTGAGGTTTATGTTGCTTATCCGTCAGAGTTTTATAACACGAGAAATTTTAATTTTTGCCTTATAAAATATTGCCTGTCTGCAGTGATGATGGCATATGTTTAGACAATGCGAAAAGGCTTGAATACCGTTCAGACAGAAGTTAAGAAATTAAAAAAAACTACTAACCTTTTAAGAGCTGCCTGTTTAATATTTAGTCTTTTATGTTAGTAAATGGTAGGTCTGATCTTAGGTATCTCATGTCTCACTCCAAACGTTGTAAAGGGCGGAGTACGGATGAAACGCTGTTGAAGTTCAAATGCGATGTGTGTGGCAAAATATTGTCGAAGAGCAGTCACTATCACCGTCATTTGTTGCACCATTATGATGTTCGCGAATACTGCTGCGAACATTGTGGACAGAAGTTCGTGCAAAAAGCCCATTTGAAGCGACATGTCAATACGCAGCACGAAATATATTTCGCCGGTCATATATGTCAGATGTGTCACAAGGCTTTCAGTACCGGCTGGCAGTTGAACCGTCATGTGCGGCAGGTTCATCCAGTTTTGGAGCCGGAGAGTTGGAGATGCATGATCTGCGACAAGACGGACTTTTCCAGCTTGCACGATCGTGAGAGACACCTGCAACAGCATATGGGCCTAAGGCCATTTGTTTGTGATCATTGTTTGTCTGCATTCGCTCGACGTTCAGAGCTCAAATGCCATCTGGCGTCCAAACATAACCTTGGCCAGTTTTTTACATGTATCCGGTGTAACCAAACGTTTCCTCAACGCACACAGGTCGACCGACATCTCAAGAAGTGCTTTGCTCCTCGCTCTGATGATCAGCTTTGTCCTACAGAGGAAAATTTCGATTGCACAGCTGCAGTCTCTTGCTCGTATAGAAAAGAGTCGGATTGTGAATGCTCAGCATCGTTCACAGAGTTATCATCCTCTTTCCAGGCGGTTGGTCATAGCAAATCTGACCAAAATATTTTCGCGCATAAAACGACGTCTAAACAGTGGCATTCTTTCTACCTTGTCAGTGCAGAGAAAACGTTTGGAAAGGAGAATCCTCTTCTATCCACGAAACCTATCACCCGAATGTTGACCGTAACAAATGAGAACGAGAACCAGAACCACCATGCATCATCTATCGAGCCGTGCCGTAACATTCGAGTGGCAGTGAAGATCAGTGAATCTTCCAGACCGGTGTCCACCCTCGAACTTGGACCTCTTCTTCCGGCACGTTTACTCGACCTTTGCCCAGAATTCAAGGTTCTTCAGGTAAAAGTTGCGGACAAGGTTTTTCGTGCTGGCGAAACGATTTTGTTTGATTTACCAGTGGAAAACGCTGGTATTGTCGCTGACGAGGCCTGTATAAATCAGTACATTACCATAAATTACAAAGCATGACTTGAAATTCTGAGCCATGTTCGGGCATTGTTCTCTTCGCTGTTGTTGGTGAACTGCTTTTCAAAATTCGACCTGGTGACATCTTCTGAAATATATTTATGTAACCATAGTTTGGTTTTCACTCATACTTTGATGTTGTTGATGTGATGCTCAGGTTTCAACGAAAACTGAAATTTCAGTTTAATAAAATTCGCTGTTGGGGTGTTTTGTGGACCAGTACTTGTTCTGCTGACGCATCGACCGTCTGCCAATGACTCTGCGGCAGTATTTGATAAAATTTAATTCGGCACCTCATTAACCATCGATCTGGCTACTGATAATTGTTGAACTTATGAACATCTAGCAACCGCATAAGCATATGAGGAACCAATATGTGTACCACATGCATTTATTCCATAAGCAACTGTGAAGCAGACTAACAGGCATTGATTATAATCGCCATTTATGATTAGCTTCAATCAGGCCTAACTAGCTAGGTGCATCTAAGTAATGGACCGGATGCGAATGGCTGTCTCAGCATGGCGGACTGGACAACGAAGCCACCGGACACGCATTCACTGACCGCGTGGATTACTAGATGACTGGAAATTGAAAACGACTGCGAGCCTCTTCACTGCAAAGCGGACAGAACAAAAACATCGCCAACACAATGATCAGATATTCCTCACCATTTCGTCAAATGTATTAATGAACAGTGGAAACGCAACGTTGTTAAAAATCAACCAAAGTTTGAAGGATAGAATTTGGTTACATGTTTTGGCAGTTGTTTTCATCATATGTATTCGAGTGTAGTCAAATCTTGACGACCGATTCTCTCCTGTTTCTCATGTAGCCTTGATTCGGTGGGCTAATTGTTTCGGCTCTTTTCGTTAAGTGACAGTAATAGGTGATGTATAAGTTCCTCGAAGTTTTACGAGCCAGTGGCTTTCTAGATTCTTTCTAAAAAATAGGTTAAAGCAAATTTAGTTTCTGTAAGAAGACTCCAAAAGCAGGAAGCGAAGTCAATATGCGATACAATGCTACAGGCTTTAAAGATGAGGTGAATATATTTGTTTTAGGCCTATGTCTTGGATCATACCGCAGGTCTGTTGTCAGGGCACCAAGCAAGGAGAGACAAGCGTCTGTGAAAGTGATCCAGCTTAAAGTACTGGACTAAAATTATTATTA